TTATGTCAGATAGCACATTATTAATGAATGAATCAAAGAGATAGCTGTCATTGTGAAGACATTCCCAGCGCTTATTCCAACACAGACAAAGACAGACATCACATGGGGAAAAATGCCATGTGAAATCTATTTTCATGAATCATGGCACATGTTGTGGGAAGTTTTTAGCTAGTGTTAAATTTGGCCCTGATTTTGTAGGAAATTCCTTTGAAATTCGATTATCCGTTTGACGTCTGTAGATAAACTATTTTGGAGTTGCAGTCGCCCTCTCTTTCTCGATCATTCTCCATTTCTGTCAGAGTCTTGTCCATTTGTTTCCTCCAAAGTTCTAGTGGGAAAGTCTTTATCAGGTGAGGCACCTGCTGACACATATGGCTTAGCATGTAACATGTAATACTAGACTCCTCACAGAGAGATAGTGGTACCTTAGCATGTTAAGTTAGAATCCTCATAGAGAGATTAAGGTACATAAGACATCCTTAGGCTTCTGTGTGGACACCTGTAGAGTTGAAACAAGACCTTTGTCCCCACTCCCAATGTCAATGGGATACCTGTCTGTTTGTGTCCTTTAGCTTTCTTCCCATTCCTATAAGAGCTATTATTTTGTATTCCCCAGAGTAAAGGTTGAGGCAGAGGTTAGTCTGGTGAATATCAGAAACACTAATCTGATCTGCCTCATCAACCCTGTGATCAGTCAATGGTTTTTGCGGCTGGTTTTAGGACTTAATGTGCTACTGAGAAAGTGGTTCCATCTGTGAAAATAATGGAATTAGTAAATTACTGAACACTCCAAAACTGGTGAGTCCTAGAATGCTGGAATCTTTCTAAATAAATGGTCAAAAAATATTTGTATAAAGGATGCCCGTCTGACCTGTTGTATTAGTGCAGTATTTTACACAACAGGCCTGTCAAAGTTATCCTAGCATTGCAGATGATCATTCTTGGTCCATCCAAGAATAGTCTTCATGTATTTGTCTGTTTCATGTATTTGTCTCTCTACCTGTTACAGTAGCGCCTAAAGACTACTGTGTAGACTGGAGGCAGGAAAGGGAAACAGGAAATGGGTCAGGGTTCCTGCTGGTTGATATGTACACCTCTCTCGTTTGGTCTCTCCCTGAATACACTGTGGACCTTTAGCCATGATAACAATCTCTGGGAGGAAACTCAATGCAGTCCACCATGGCTACAGAGTGCCACAACACCTTGTCCAGGGGGTCAGAAGGTAGAGCATTACAAGGGGCCATGACTCTGCACAGCTTCTGGGCATATGTTGTGTTTTGTGTTAGTGGGTGTGGTTTTCCTGGCATCACATTGAAAGTTGAAATTGCATGTATTATGTGTATACAAGAGAGCCGTAATGAACAAGTGTACTTGAAAGAAGTTGAGAGGCACTGATTCCGGTGTTGAATGTAAAAAAAAAAAAAAAAAAAAGAGATTAGAGGATTTGATTGTAGAGATTAGGTCAGGAGTGAAGTTCAGGCTCGATTTCCACAGTTCAGCAAATTGAGCACATTTTTTGAATTCCCTTTTTTTCCTGATAGCTTTGACAACCTATGTTAGTGTTGTCTTGTAGTATTAAAGACCCACTCCCGCTCCCTAGCACCTCATTTATCACCAAAAGGTACATCTCAATTAGGCGGTCCAGGGGGGGCTTTACTCTTTTGTCCTCTTTTGCTCCTTTATTGTACAGGGAGGGGGAGGCAGATGATATCAGAGTGAACCATCAGACAACTCTTTGAATTGCCAAACCCTTGAATTTCGCATTTGTGTCTTAAAAAAACATATTCTGCTCTATTAGTGTACTTTACTGTATCTATACTTGTGGAATATCGTTTATCAACAGGAAAAGTAAAGAAAATAGCTGTACTTTGTCTAGGCCTATATCAGTTGTTCTCGTCATGAAGGCTCTGTTGCAATGAGTTGTGCTCTTTGTGATTGCTTAATCTTTTCAAATCAAATCAATAATTGCAGACTTACATTGAGTATTAAGATTGTTTCATCATGCCCCAAAGGTTTACTTAATTTCACATGCCAAGCTAAATCACAATCACAACATTGTCCTATCGATTCTATCACAGAGCAATCCCCACACCAAACAATGATATTGTTTTTATAAATCAGGTACCCTGCTAATAGCTCAGACTAAAGTGACTGAAAATATTTGCTCAGGGCCATTAGTCAACAAAATAAGCTGACTTAACATGGTAAGATAAACACACTTCTCTCAACAGCAGTGTGCAGTAAAGAAGAGAAAGCATGCACACAGTACTGTATGAGCCAGAGCCCAGGAAATGAAAGATGTTTTGTTTTGGTGCACTGAAAATCCAACAGTGTGTCAGTGTAGCCACACCCTGAAAAATATAGATAACTTTTAGATTTCTTTGGCCCGTGTTACAATACCTTTTAGCTACCTGCCTCAAGGTTCATAAACAACACAAATCCTAATCCACACTAAACTTGGCTGAGCAGCTTTGTTTGATAATTAAGGTGTAGAAATTCAGAGTAAAAGGTTGTGGTGTGGCTGTGTTCTTAGATGGTGCTAGTTGGTTAAATACATTAAAGTGCTTTATCACTCCTCAACCACAGCGGCCTGGTCGCCCAGGGTGACAGAACTCTAATTGCCTTGTACACCTGTCTTTAAAGGCCCAGTGCAGTCAAAAAACGTGATTTTCCTGTGCTTTATATATATTTCCATGCTATGAAGTTGGAATAATACTGTGAAATTGTGAAAATTATGATAATGCCCTTTTAGTGTAGGAGTTGTTTGAACAGACCAGCCTGTTATGGTGGGATGGAGTTGTGGCCTGTCTGGTGAAATCACCAGACGGTAAATTAGTAGGTAGACCAATAAGAAAGAGAGTTCTAAACCTCTCTGCCAATAACAGCTAGTTTTCAGTTTCTCCCTCCCCACTCAGACCACTCCCAGACAGTCCTAGCAAAATTATTGCTTGCTCTTTGCTAAGAAGTAATTTTTGTTTATTTTTGACCATTTTAATTTAAAACAATCACACTAAGGTACTTAATTGTTACCCAGAAATGATTTGATATTGAGATAAAAATGGCTGCATTGGACCTTTAATGACATCACCGGCTGATGGGCTGTAAAAAAGATGGCTTACAGGACACTTTAAAGTTTAAAGTCTCAAGGAGATGCTGCTATTTGTGAGCAATATTTGATTTGGTTTGTTTGAGCACTGTGAGTACATTCACACTGCTCAGTCTGAGTCAGCTGACTTTGAGAGCTAATCCTAAAATGACTCAGTGAGGCTCAGAGGTAAATCCTCTAATGCCAATAAGTATCAGTTTGACTGGGGGTGTCAGATTTTACCAGATGAAATTGAACTAAGTGTGAACTTTGGAGAAATGTGTTGTTGTTTTTTGCTTGCATTGATCTTAGGAGTAATACATGTCTTACTCAAATACAATTCCTTAATCAGTTAGCTTTGTACCCTTCTCTGTGTCTTGTTGTGCCATACAAATTGCTTGAGTCAAGTGTATGTGACAAATGTGTAAATGGCTCTAATTTTTCTTTAAAGAATAAAAACAACCAACTACAGGGCTATCCCTTGTCCCCTGGCCAGGCACTCTGTATCCCTGTCAGCTCTCTCTGACAGAATGGGCCATGGTCTTTCTCAGGGTGAGGAGAACACAATTACACTATAGCCAACCCATACATTTCCCCCAGGGTTGATGGACGAGCCTTGTCTCCCAGCTCTCAGGCTGTGTCCTGTGCTCTAGGCTCTGGACTCTGGGATTTTCCCAAGGGACAGAGGCCCCATCTACCCTGGCTACCCTGGACCTGTCTGGGAGACTAGGAAAAGGACACTGAATGGAAGTCAGGCCATTCTACCATTCTCTGGAAGGTCAGGGCCATTTCACCATTCTCTGGTGAAAACAAGAGTATTGGAACTCTCCTCCAACGTGACTGTGGTTATTCAGACTTTAGTGTGAAGCCAACATCTACCCAGAATCCCTAAATGGGACAACAACATGGGCCTTGGTAGTGAGACTAGACTAGACCACCGTCTCCTTCTGCTGATGAATTCCTGAACCTAATGAATGTCACAATATTGTGTCTGGGTAAGGCTGGTTTGTCTGTATTGGGCATGTTGTGGGTAACTGGATATTTCTTCAGAGAGAATTGGTCAGACCCTTAAGAAATCTTGTCTGGGAAAGTCAAGGGAGATCCTCATGTAATGGTAAAACAACATGTCTTAACCTTGCTCACACAGACACTCAAGGACACAGGCATACCATTAAAGGCATATGAGTACAATATACAATACATGTTAATGTAATAATTTCACCCTTCCCCCTCTAATGTTGCCAGGGAATCCTATGTTTTGTCACTGTTAAGTCTGAAACTGTAGGTTAAGCTTAATTCCCTTTGTTGTGACAGTGATGGTGACACATCAATCCAATGGCAGTCACCCAACGTCACTATCCCTCAGGCTTTGAAGACAGAGACAGCCACAGTGATTCTATAAGTCATCCTGAATAACTTTTGATTAAATCATATTTCCCTCTCATGTCTTGTGGTGACAAATGTATAAGGATTTAGTTTAGAAACAAATAACAAACCAATAATATTTCAGTGAAGACTGTTGTTTCTTTATTTGTGTTAAAAGCAGAGGAAACAGAAAATACCTCTTATCGTTTACAAAATATGTTTTTCACTTACAGAGCCCTAGAGACTAATCAATAAGTAAATAATAATAATTTTAATGTTCTTCATTTTTATATCATAAACAGCAAACAACAAGACACAATTATAAAAAAACAAAAATACCACACCTTTCCAGTTTCCACCCACCCTTCCCACACGAAATGACAAATATAGAAAAAGGAAAATGTAAATGATTGAAAGAAAATGTGCTCTAATATCGATTATGTAGTTAGAAACATAACATTTGACAGGTATTACATGTTTGAGTTTTGATTCATTCCTCACCCGACATGCCATCACTCTCCTCCTCGACTCTGCTGTTCTGTTGTCCAGGAGGCTGGCCTGCTACCCTCCTGGTCGTCTGAGGAGCCTGGTCTCTTCTCCTGGTCTTCTGAGGAGCCTGGTCTCTTCTCCTGGTCTTCAATTTCACAGTGTTCACAGCACAGACCATCCACAGCAGACCACAGCCCATCAATTAAGAATACACTGTATACTGTAGAAATAGTAGTCTATGCCAAAGGGGTCTTTCTCCGCATGAATTAAGAAAGTCCTGGGGCCTCCCGAGTGGTGCAGCGGTCTAAGGCACTGCATCACAGTGCTTGAGGCGTCACTACAGACCCGGGTTCCATCCCAGGCTGTGTCACAACCGGCTGTGACCGGGAGTCCCATAGGGTTAGGGGAGGGTTTGTCCAATATGACATTGTCCCCTTGAACAGTCTTTTTTTAAATCTACACAACCAGGATAGAGTATGATTAGAGTTAGAGCTGAGAGCCCTTCGAGAATAATTTTGTGAGCAGGTAAGACATTGGGCAGACCACCAGCATATACAATTGGATGTAATTATTATATTGATTTTGATGCTTCACATAGAAGTAAGTATTTATTACTATCCCAACTGTTTGTTCATGACTAACTCTGTTACTTGTTTCTCACTGCATAAAGACTGAGCTGGACCAGAATTAAGACAGAATGAGGGCTGATGATGCATGAGAGTCTGGTCCCTGGCAGACTGACTGATGTCATTGATCTAATGAGGACATGTTTGACTGGGGGATAATAGATGCAAGCTGTGTTCCAAATGTGGACATTGCCTGACCAGTTCAAAAGTAGTGCACATAGGAAATAGGAAATAGGGTGCCATTTTGGATGCAGCCCTAATGATGAACACTGCTCTGTTGTTTCTGGTCTGGTGGCTGATTGGAGGATGTCTAGGGCTTCAGGGCTTTCCTCTGTCTTTTCCAAAAGGGCTGGTGACACCCATGGTCACTGTACCATGTAGTTAGGATAGGCAGTCAGGATGCTTTGATCAGAAATCCAAAGCAATTGTCTTTTTTACAATATGCTTTTTGTCATTGAAATGAAACAAAGTAAATTGTGCAAAATGAAACATGCTATTGTATAGTAAAAAAAAAGGTAATGTAACTAAGAATTGGGTTAAATGTGTGCTCTCTTTCCTCTGCAGGTGTCCTCGTGTGATTGTCCAATCAGAGACCTGCATGTGTGAAGCCGCGGCCAGCAATGGAACCCTGGCCTGCAGTGGCTTGGGTCCTACTGCTGACGGTCATTGCTGATTGGCTGAAAACAGCCCAATCAAAGGACTTTACAGAACAGGACATCATCTACCTCCATCACTCAAGTAAGAATCAGACTTTATTATTACATGACCAAGAGTATTCAATAGAGTGATGGTGTCCCAGTTTCCCAGACTAATTGCATGAAAGTACTGTAAATTAGTTGTGATCTAATTCACAGTGTCCCAAATGCAGCTGACTTGCATGGAATTGGCACCTCAAAATCATCTGTTTGTGTTGGTACTAAATGTATAAAATTATTTCGACAAGTTTTGAAAATGCCCAGGGTTTAATCTGATGCGAAATGTATGACTTGTAGATCAGTCAGCACCTGTTATTGCACTCAGAGATCCCACTTCTGCTAACATCATCAATGATGTGACCGGACCGCTATTATCCCAGTGATTGGGTGTGATAAAATTGAGACGGTCAGTCAGTCACGCCACCGCTGTCGGCCTTAACTGTTAATCCACTGGCCAAGCCACGTCCATGTATTCATGTAGCCCAGCCCTTTCTCTAAACTACGGCTAGCGGGAGTCCTTCAGCCCCTCAGTCCCCTGTAAAACCTGTCATTAGACTGAGTCTGTTATTACAGGCCATCTCTAATGGAGGAGAGGCCCCTCTGTCTCTGTCTCTCTCTCTCTCTCTCTCTCTCTCTCTCTCTCTCTCTCTCTCTCTCTCTCTCTCTCTCCTCTCTCTCTCTCTCTCTCCTCTCTCTGTCTCTCTCTCTCTCCTGTCTCTCTCTCTCTCTCTCTTCTCCTCTCTCTCTCTCTCTCTCTCTCTCTCTCTCTCTCTCTCTCTCTCACACACACACACACACACACACACACACACACACACACACACACACACACACACACACACACACTCTTTACTGTGTCTTCATTAGATGAGCCCCCTTTGCTTATTACATCCCCATAACCGCTGCTTATCACAAACCTTAATAGACTACTCCATTCCAATTTTGACTGACCCTTAAGAGTTATGAAAAAGTCGGTCAGAGGCTATGCCACTCAGGAATAGCTGTTAGGGGTGTGTATCCAGTGAGCTTGTGATCCCCAGCCAAACCAGACAGATCCACAGCTGGCACAGCAACTGTCTGCTCCCTCCCCTCTCCACCACCAGGCCCGGCTCTTTGATCTGAGGCATAGGGTCATGTGACTCCATGCATAGCTACCCGGCACAGTCAGACGGCCCACAGTCAGCCATGTTGTCACTGCCTTCTGCCCTCTGCCCTCTTTTGTCTCATCCACACATTAGCCCAGCAATATTTCCACTCAGCCCCCCAATAGAGAAACTACACTATACCGTAACTGGAAGATCCACTGCAAATGGCATTGATATCTTATTCACGTCTATTCAATATTTCCTGAATCAGCTCAGATTGAAACAATGAAACACATTATCAATAAATCAAAGGAAATTCTTACAGAGAGTGACTGTTATCTTAATTTGAATTCTAGTGGTCTGAACCAAGTCGGGACAGTGACGACCAACAAGACTCAGCTGAGGGTAACTGATTGATTGTTGTCCTTTGGCTGTCCCTGTGACTCAGGCCAGAATGTTCCGGCATGGCCAGAATGTGGACACTCACTAATTGGTTCTCAGTGCCAATTAGATCATGTTCCCGAGCCACAGGAATGGCTGCTTTCCATAACATAGTACTCTCAACTTGTTCTCTCTCTCCTCCCCCCTTCTCTCTCTCCCTCCTTCCCTCCTTCCCTCCCTGTCTTAACTGAATGTGTGCCAGTGCCAGTATAGGGCCAATGGTAACTAACTACAAGTCATGTAAGTCATGTTACAGCTGGTAAATTGCTGCTGCGCACCTCAAGTCCTCTTAAAGGCCTTTTTCCTAGTTTGTTAGCTCAGTGGATAAGCTAAGCTGCCTCGACAAGCTTTAGTCCTGGCCTCTGTGCAACAGTCTTTTCCCTTTTTTCAGACCCCCTGCAGTCCCCTTACCCCAGTCAGTGTACAACAACAGACTGGATCACTATAGGCCTCTGTAGATGGGCATATGCTAGATTAGGGTCTGAAACAACCCCAACTTTCCCCAGGAAGCAGGCATGTTAGAGGTAAGCCCTCCCACGTCTCAGAAACAGGTCTCTGTGTAGCCAGAAATAATATCTCTTAAGATCTGTGGCTCTTTCATCACAGAGAGGCAGAACTCCTGGGATCAGGTTAACACCGCGCCGGCTTTCTGGGATACTGCGGGAGATATCCGTGTCAGCTCGAGGTCACCCCTCTAGTCCCAGTGGGGATTTGGTAGATTGTGTGTGTGTGTATATGTGTGTGTGTGCGTGTGTGTCTGTGTCTATGTACATATGTGAGCATGTGACAGGGTGTTTGCGTAGTTGTGTGTCTGTCTTTGTGTTTGGGTGTGGGAGGGCTACTAGGGAACGGTAACTAACCAGACATCCAGGGAGGGGTCATGGTCTAGCTAGCAGTGGCGAGGCAAGGCGGGATCATGGTCTGCATCCCAAATGGCACCCTATTCCCGATATACTGCACTACTTTTGACCAGAGTCCTCTGGGCTACATAGTGCACTATATAGAGAACAGGGTGCCATTTGAGACGTAGCCATGGTGATTGGCAACAGGCTTTGTGTTCTGAATGAAGTTTGCCTGACTTGCAGACCTGCAGCTATCATTGGGGAAGGGTGTGGAGGAGTGACCAATCAGATTAATGTAATGGTGTGAAACTGGAAAGACTAACAGCTTCTTCGTCCGAATGATCACAACAGATGGCCCACCATGGACATTTTCCATCCTCTGGGGACAATGCATTGAGAAGGGAGGCAGCAACTGGGCTGTGTGGTCTTAGTCTTAGTGTTTCACTGAATTAACAGAGTGCATGGGGTAAACTGCACTTGGCACTATAAGTCTTTATCAGAACAATTGTGTGTGTGTGAGAGATAGATTACTACTGGTCATAAGCTATGTACAGTATACTGTATGTTGGTGCAAGGACTGAGTTCCCCCTATAAATGGTCTCCCTGTCCCTAAAGTCCATGTTATAAGAGTGATTTTTGTTTTACTAATCCAAAATAACGCGTTCCATGCATTCCAAACTTTTTCATCCATTTTATTAATCCAAAAGTTCAATCTTTTTCTGTCCAGATTTCATAAGCTAATATTATTATTAGCCCAGCTTTTAGTATGAGCGTGCTAATCTTATTCAATGTTTCAGGACTTCTGTTCACTTAGGCTAAGTGTATGTTGGCTATGGCTGTGTGACTGGCTATGCTTGTCCCAGTGCCCTGTGCATGACTCTTAATCAGTGTGTGGAATAAGTGTGTGCGTATGTTTCTACAGCCACTCCATTCCCAGGTGGGTTCAAGTGCTTCACCTGTGAGGAGGCACCTGACAACTATGAGTGTAATCGCTGGGCGCCAGACCTATATTGCCCACAAGGTGAGTCAAAACACTAGGACAAACCAATGTTATTTTCAGCACCGTTGATAACAACAGTCTGACTTCAAGCCCTACCCATGAAGTAATAATAAGATGTTAATTCTTTACTCCCTCTGCTCTCAGATAGGCCTACCTTACTTTGTATTTAGATTAGGCATTCTTTCCTTCTCTGAGTGCTGCCAAAAAGTTGTAAATTACTGCTCTGTTCCTTCAATGGAGGCCTCAGTGTATTATTAAGTATATGTCACCCTGCTGTTAACATGTTTAGCTCATAAATAGCTAGTGAGTTAGCTTGGCTCGACCACTATCGGACAGATTTACAGCACACTCTTAATGACTAATAAGTTACTCTTGGCCTAGCCCTTAAAATACACATTCTTTGTATAAATAATAGCCTCATAGATCGTTGGATAGAGAGATGCACTACTTGACTCCCTGGAATGCACTCCGTGACGTGATACGATTGGTTTTCCTCCAGGTTTTACTGGGTTTGATACTAAAAGTGACATACAGTCATGTATAGCTTTGGAGTATATTAGATACCGTATGGCAGAGGCTTCAATTCAGGAAAGGGTCAGATAAATGACTAAAATGTAAATGTAGGTAGCCTATAGTGTTTTTCCCCACAACCTATGAACAGAAAAGTACAGCTTTTCTCTCAATTCTAACTTAACTCAAATCCATCCATGCAAACCAGAATGTGGTAGCTACAGCAAGAGGTCAATATGTCTTATTTACTGTCTTTATTCTCAACAGAGACCAGATATTGTTACACGCGTCACAATATGGACGTGGAGGGGGACAGTGTTTCCGTGACAAAGCGTTGTGTGGCTCTAGAGGACTGCCTCTCTACTGGATGCTCTGAAGAAGACCATGAAGGAAACAAGGTGTGGAGTGGGAACAAGGGGAATAGTGTTGAGCCTAGTGTTGGGAGGTTACAATGGTATTTTTTTTTTTTTCACCTTTATTTAACCAGGTAAGCCAGTTGAGAACAAGTTCTCATTTACAACTGCGACCTGGCCAAGATAAAGCAAAGCAGTGCGATAAAAACAACAACACAGAGTTACTTATAGGGTAAAACAAAACAAAGTCAAAAATACAACAGAAATAAATATATATACAGTGTGTGCAAATGTAGCAAGTTATGGAGGTAAGGCAATAAATAGGCTATAGTGCAAAATAATTACAATTAGTATTAACACTGGAATGATAGATGTGCAAGAGATGATGTGCAAATAGAGATACTGGGGTACAAATGAGCAAAATAAATAACAATATAGGGATGAGGTAGTTGGGCGGGCTAATTTCAGATGGGCTGTGTACAGGTGCAGTGATCGGTAAGGTGCTCTGACAACTGATGCTTAAAGTTAGTGAGGGAGATAAGTGTCTCCAGCTTCAGAGATTTTTGCAATTTGTTCCAGTCATTGGCAGCAGAGAACTGGAAGGAATGGCGGCCAAAGGAGGTGTTGGCTTTGGGGATGACCAGTGAGATATACCTGCTGGAGCCCATACTACGGGTGGGTGTTGCTATGGTGACCAATGAGCTAAGATAAGGCGGGGATTTGCCTAGCAGTGATTTATAGATGGCCTGGAGCCAGTGGGTTTGGCGACGAATATGTAGTGAGGACCAGCCAACAAGAGCGTACAGGTCACAGTGGTGGGTAGTATATGGGGCTTTGGAGACAAAACGGATGGCACTGTGATAGACTACATCCAATTTGCTGAGTAGAGTGTTGGAGGCTATTTTGTAAATGACATCGCCGAAGTCAAGGATCGGTAGGATAGTCAGTTTTACGAGGGCATGTTTGGCAGCATGAGTGAAGGAGGCTTTGTTGCGAAATAGGAAACCGATTCTAGATTTAACTTTGGATTGGAGTTTCTTAATGTGAGTCTGGAAGGAGAGTTTACAGTCTAACCAGACACCTAGGTATTTGTAGTTGTCCACATACTCTAGGTCAGACCCGTCGAGAGTAGTGATTCTAGTCGGGTGGGCGGGTGCAAGCAGCGTTCGGTTGAAGAGCATGCATTTAGTTTTACTAGTGTTTAAGAGCAGTTGGAGGCTACTGAAGGAGTGTTGTATGGCATTGAAGCTCGTTTGGAGGTTTGTTAACACAGTGTCCAATGAAGGGCCAGATGTATACAAAATGGTGTCGTCTGCGTAGAGGTGGATCTGAGAGTCACCAGCAGCAAGAGCGACGTCATTGATATACACAGAGAAAAGAGTCGGCCCAAAAATTTAACCCTGTGGCACCCCCATAGAGACTGCCATAGGTCCAGACAACAGGCCCTCCGATTTGACACATTGAACTCTATCAGAGAAGTAGTTGGTGAACCAGGCGAGGCAGTCATTTGAGAAACCACGGCTATTTAGTCTGCCAATAAGAATGCGGTGGTTGACAGAGTCGAAAGCCTTGGCCAGGTCAATGAAAACGGCTGCACAGTACTGTCTATTATCGATCGCGGTTATAATATCGTTTAGGACCTTGAGCGTGGCTGAAGTGCACCCATGACCAGCTCGGAAACCGGATTGCATAGCGGAGAAGGTACGGTGGGATTCGAAATGGTCGGTGATCTGTTTGTTAACTTGGCTTTCAAAAACTTTTGAAAGGCAGGGCAGGATGGATATGGGTCTGTAACAGTTTGGATCTAGAGTGTCACCCCCTTTGAAGAGGCGGATGACCGCGGCAGCTTTCCAATCTCTGGGGATCTCAAACGTTACGAAAGAGAGGTTGAACAGGCTAGTAATTATTCTAGTTGATTTTGGGCATGGCATTTTTCTGACTTGGAATTTTTTTGTAATGACATAGACAGAGGTAGATGGTGTTGTTGCCAAAATGCCGCCAACAGGGTAAAGTTTATGGTTGGATCTCAGGCTATGGTTGCGGTCAAATCTGGAGTGGGGTCAGAGCCGGGGTCAGACAATGTGAACGTGGCGCTTTATATTACGGCCCTGTCCCAGTCACCACCACTTAACTGTGCTTTTGAGTTAATCCGGAGATCCTCCAAAGTGCTCGCTCCAGATAAGATAAAGAGAAGAGTGGAAACTGCTCTCTCTCAGTAGGCTGTCATTCTAATCCCCGGTGAAAGGTGTATGTCTTCACTACCTCGGAAGTCTGCATTATTCCCCACTGAGAGAGAGAGAGAGAGAGAGAGAGAGAGAGAGAGAGAGAGAGAGAGAGAGAGAGGGGAGGGAGAGAGGAGTGAGAAGAGAGAGAGAGAGAGAGGGAGAGAGAGAGAGAGAGAGAGAGAGGAGACGAGAGGAGAGAGAGGAGAGAAAGAGATAGAGAACAAAATCTAAGGTGTTTGTACTAATGTTTCAACTTTTCTCCTTTAGGTCTGTACAGCGTGCTGTGAGGGCAATATCTGTAACCTTCCTCTCCCCTGGAATGAGACGGAGGCTGTGTTCGCCACCACCTCACCTCTCAGCGGCACCACAGGGCTCTCACAGAGCTACACACTAATATCCTGCCTCCTTTTCCTCACCTTCCTCATCTCCAGCTATGTTTGAGAAGTGGAGAGAGATACTGACATATACAATTTTCTTTACCAGTTGAAGGCCTGATTCAACTGTTAATGTATTCCGATCCAACTGTTAATGGATTCAATCTACACCCTATGGAAATAGTACTCACTATTTTGACAGTTTATTTTCCTTTTAATTAAAAGGAATCCAGTTTTGATTCCCTTTCATCATTATGTTCAGCTTCAATAAAATGTGCACTTAGAACTGGACACTGATACTGCTTCTAAAACACAGGCAATATGGCTGTCAATCTTGAAGGATAAAACATAATAAACATCACAGTATGATATTACATCATTCTCCCCCTACTACTCTTTTGCACAGGGACAGAAGGAAGGGAAACTGTAAACCTAGAAATGTGTTGTGGCATGTTTGGACTCGTCAGTAGGCTATATACTGTAAGAGTTTCAACATTTTCCAGTGATGAGGAAGAATTGAAGAGCAGCTTCAGCTTCTATGAGGATTTGTCTGGTTTAACGTTTTATGTTTTTTACATTTTCACATTTGTGAGTCAGTACCCCATGTTGTATGTTTGACACATATGTACATATACATAGTATTTATTTTTTTATCGAACATTGTTGTTAGAAGGTGAATATGTATGTGTGAAATGTTACGCCTGTAGGTTTCTATAATAGCATGTAAGTAAAGTGTGGACTACGTATTTTATTTTCCAGCTGGAACAAAGGACATAGGTGCTGCTCATCCTTTTACAGAAAGTATTTTTACCAACATGGAAAGAGAGCCTGGCGCCTATCAAACAAACGCTTAACCCTTTGCATGAAGTGGTGTTTCTGATGTGGGAAAACTATTTCCTCAAAACCTAAAAAAGGATTAAAGTTAATTGCAGGTCTATTTTAGCTTCAAAATGTACCGATGATGAAAAATAAATCAGACTTTCCACATGATACAGCTACCCACATACCTAAGCACAGCACTTTGTTTGGCCTAGGCTTTGGGAGTTGTACTGTAACTGTAGGACAAATAGCATGTTTATATGTCTTATCATTGCAGTTTTAGTGAGAGGCAACAATAAATGACTTACTTTGTGTGCACACAATTAGTTACTGACACTATGTGCTCTTCAGGATACTTTTTCTCACCACTGTTTTAATGTTTTCCGTTCTCGTGACACGTCCCTCTGATGTTTGTACTGTGTTCTGTTCTGTGACATGTTTCTCATCCATCACTCTCTGTTGGCATTGTGGTCGCCTGGCCAGGCAAGAAAAATGCAGAGTTAGCAAATACAGTGTTATTGTTCTCCAGGATTTATGATTTGTTTAGGCTGATCGCCCGAGACATAAAGGAGACTGGTCACTTCCCCCCTCCAGACCTAGGTTCATTTACTATTTTAAATCATTTTAAATACTTTACCTGTGCTTGATTAAGTTTTCTTGGCTTAATGGACCAATAGAATAGTCCCAAAATGGCAAACCATGCACATATGGCACTTCAGGCAGACTAAAGCAAACGATCAAAGTATTTAAAAGATTTCAAATAGTATTTGAACCCAGATCTGCCCTCTTCCCTCTCTACCACACTGTCTGTTCATTAGGACTCCAGCCAAACGGCAAGAGGAAAACAGTGAAGCATGATTTACAGAAAGCAAACATTTTTACCTACTGTAGTTGGCTCTGTTAACATTTTATAAATTACATTTTGTTTTTTATAGGGTAACATAAGGGCTAGAACATGTTGTGTCCCTTTAAACCAATCAGGCAAATACTAGATTTTCCCTTTAAAATATTTTACTGGACTTTTGAATTGTGACCTTAAGCCAGCATATCTTGCCAGATGTTGCCTTAACTCATTCTAAAGAAATGCTGTACAATTCGTGGAAGAAGTGCTTGTGCATGATCTTATCAAGTCATGTTGTGCCAATTGATGTTATGTAAATATCATCTCTGTTTTTATATGCAATGTCTTTGTAAATAATTGTATATATAAATGTGAATGACTTTGTAACTTCATATTAAAGATGAAGACATGACCCCTTAACCAATGGTGTATGACATAAGTGTTATTTGAGTGACTCAAAAAGACTACTGTAATGCTGGATGCCAAATTGTACTCCCGAGTGGCGCAGTGGTCTAAGGCACTGCATCGCAGTGCTAACTGTGCCACTAGAGATCCTGGTTCGAATCCAGGCTCTGTTGCAGCCGGCCACGACCAGGAGACTCATGGGCGGCGCACAATTGGCCCAGCGTCGTCCAGGGTAGGGGAGGGAATGGCCGGCAGGGATGTAGCTCAGTTGATAGAGCATGGCGTTTGCAACGCCAGGGTTGTGGGTTCGATTCCCACGGGGGGCCAGTATAAAAAAATATGTATTCACTAACTGTAAGTCGCTCTGGATAAGAGCGTCTGCTAAATGACTAAAATGTAAATGTAAATTCAACCATTGGTCTGACCAAACTAGGCCTGAATACCCATTTTTGGTTATACTATCAGACAAGACAATCAGCAAGCTATTTCACTGAAGTAAAACAGTTAAACGCTTCGCTCTCACCACAGTAGGAATCAGTGGGTGATTCCTTTGTCAGGATCATTTGATAGATGTTCCATTTTTACAATGCCACTGCATGCCATTGCTATTTAGGTCCCACAAAAACATTTTACCGTTATTCCCCTGTTTTCCAGTCGTCCTTTTTCCACAGATTGCAGAGTTTCCAGCAACTGCAGCCCAAGCCCTAGCGTGACGCCTATAAATCTGCTGTGTTTTTCTACCCGTCGACCTTTCAGCGGCGGTGACGTCTGAGGATGACTCATCTGAACCAAGCAGACCTGTGTCATCAGTAGAATCACCAGTGGTTCCTGATAAGCCATCCTTGGAGAGTTGTTGTAGGGGCCCCTGATGCCCTGTTCTAATACTTAAGGGTGGAAAAGAAAACAAACGACCCTTCAGTCTGGACAGCGTTTATGCCCCCTGCTTGAGGAATGGCTGTTACGTTGATCCTCAGGCCAAGATACTGGTGGGTTACAGCCACTGGCAGCAAGTGTCTGATGTATTGCACTGAGAAGGAATAGGATCGGACAGTTGGCTATGTAAAAGCGCATATTTCACGAGAAGGCGTTCTTTGAAGCATTGTAACGCCCTATGCTAAAACAAATGACAAATCACAGTCTAGCTATAAAAAATTAAGTTAATGGTGCTCTGTTCAAATTCAGATCACTTGAGCTAACAGTCTAAACAAGTGACCAAATACAATACAACAGTAAAGTCTGTTTGTTCTGGGTGATGTCCTTCATGGTAATTTATGGTCTGGTTCAGTGGCCTCAGACCGCTCGCATAGTGGGACATAATTTGGGAACATGACCCCAGCTGGATAGAACTCTAGGAGGGTCAGAGGTTAATATCCTGGGCCATTTGTCCGCTCTGTGTCAGAGGCTTTCGGTTTCACTCAGAGGTGGTGTCTGTGGTAGCTGGGCTCATAGGTAAAATCTTGAAACAACCTAATACATGGCGGTCAGTGGGAGAAAAATGTCTTGTTCTTGTTTGCCTTTTTGTCTTCTCCTCTTTCAGGACAGCCAAAACAGCAATAGCGTTCTCAGGCTTTAGACCCTACAGTGTAATTTCCAATCCTTCTTTTCCAAAGGGATTAGCCTCTCTCTTTTACCTCAGGATCTGTGGGGTGGTAATTTAAAGGTGACCTGTGGTTGAGATTGTGCTGCCCAGAGCTCTGCTCTCAGCCTCTGACTATAGGATAAGATAGAGTCAGAAACATGAGTTAAGAGGGGTCAATAAGAAACCACAACTATACAGAAGCGTGAGAGAGTGTGGGAAAGGCGTTTCTCTATTTGACTTTTTTTCTCCAGCACTTAGTTACTTGGATTTAAGTGTCTTTCACAGAGAGGTTGGACTCTTAGATTGAAGATGCTTGTTGTGCAACAACAGCAAAAACCTAGAACATGTCAATCCTCAAACCATAGCTCAAAGATATAAAACCATCACCAGAAAAAGTAACCTGTCATCACCAGCAAAGCTAACTTTGCAGATGAGCCATAACATGGCTCTCTGTGGATTCCTGTCCATTGAAACAAGTGGTTGCCATTAGTAATGGTGTTCTTGTACTGGCAACAATGGTCACTGATAAAGTAGCCTACACATGGCATAACCTGGTAAGAGGGTGATAGTGGAGCTAGGCACAGTGCTTGTGATTCTGAAAATTGACAGAGTTTAAGGATACTAAATTGTATGAATGTTAATTTGATCCTATCTCTATGCGTGTGTTAGCTTTTCTGCAGACTTTGTTTTATATACTTAGAAAAAAAGTGCTATCTAGAACCTAAAAGGGTTATTTGGCTGTCCCCATTGGAGAACACTTTGAAGAACCCTTTTTGGTTGCAGGTAGAACCCTTTTGGTTCCAGGTAGAACCCTTTGAGTTCCATGTAGAACCCTTTACACACAGGGTTCTACATGGAACCCAAAATGGTTCTACTATGGGGACAGCTGAAGAACCCTTTTAGAACCTTTTTTTCTAAGAGTGTATGTGTTCTGTGGTCTACTCATAAAGCATTGGAGGACCGCATTGCATTGCAGGAAACATTATTTACAGCAAACACCACCAGCAGTGACTGACATGCTCCTAGGTCACCACAGGTTTTCCTCCAACTCCTTCCCATATTTATATAAATGGTGTCATTACCATCTCAATCTGACATCTTAATCATTTTTGAAACACTTCAATGTGTTACTGTTTCAGATCAGACCACTGATAAAAGGAACATATAAAAAGATCAATGAAAACATTGACCTGTTTCACAAGAGTCTGGCTAATCAAATGTTTAAATCAATGAAAGAATGTGGTGCTTGTTAGAATTATCAGTGAACAGTCCAGGCCCTAAAGATATAACACCCGGATTTGTCCCCATATAGGAAGCATTAGTGTAGTGTAGGCTACCAGTGTAAGATATAAGATGTCATAGGATGTACACTTTTGAAGATAAGAATTTCTATAAACATAACCGCGGAAACAATCAGTGG